AAGCTCCATTTCTAGTATTAACCACTCCAAACAGGCCCAGACCTCCTTAACTGAGACTCTTGGTAAGGGAATAGTTCTAGTGGTGCAATCAATTTGAGCTCTAACCCGACAGTTCAGGTTCTAGTTTGATTGGGTTTAATTTGAGCTTGGTGCCAATTGAATTCAAATCTTGGGGGTAAATTAGATTAGTTATTCAAATTCGAACCGTCCAATGAAATGTCTGGTTTTAAGGATTGCAAACCTGGATTTTCTTCGAGCTGAAGTCGAACTTAATTATCGAATATTTAGTTGAACCAAAATCAAATATAATTAGTATTATACAGAAACCAAGCTAAGACAAGCTGAAGTTCAGCTCGGGTCAGTTCCTTTGCGCCCTGAAGCTCTTCCAACTATTAACACCCCAAAAGTGTCTCTATGACACACCTGTTCCTAGAAGGGTCTCGATCCCCAGCAGATAGTTACAAAATATTCTGTGCATGAGCAGAGATAACAACAAGCATTGTATGAAATTTATAGTTCTCCTCAAACGTCTTATACATTGCTTTTCAAATGTGCCATACATGAAAATCCTTCCCTGGCTAAACTAACCTTTGAAATAATGATCTTGCTCCCCTGCTCTGTAATAAGAAATATGAGCATTATTGCTAATTGTTGTTAATTACTTGTAGAATCAATTCATTCCGTTTTGAAAAGAGAATTTTAATGGGTTTCTAGCTGATGAGGGCAACTAATATCAATAAAAAATAATATTTTTTATAAAATAACTACAATAAGATAACCTTTTTGAAAAAATATCAAAAAAGGGCACTGATACTGTTCCTTGTCTTCCTCCTCTACCTATGTATTCATGCGAATACACTGGATTCGAAGACGACGATGAGGGTTAGAGGAAGACAAGGGTGAATAAGAAAAGAGAGGAAGACGGGTTTTGCGCACTAATAGAGGTGTAAATTGGATCGTGCTGGGCCTGGGATTTTAGGTCCACGGGATGACATGACATGGCATGACCAAGCAGGCCGTATYGCTCGTGACCCATGGGCTGGGACGACCCAACCTGCATTCCGGCCCAGCATGGCCCATGGCATGTCATATACATATATAGAGTCAACTTGACTTCTCCCGGTCGGCCAGGAAGTATTTATATTATTATTAAAACATAACTAAAAAGACCTATGTGCCCTTACTTAAGTTAAGAGCGCTTGTTCCAACACAACATTACAGATCAACAACATTAATCTAGGTATAAAGACAGAAATACCCCTGCGCTAACACTCTCCCTCACGTTGGTGAGTATATATCATATACTCCCAGCTTGTTACATATGTAGTCCACTCTTCCCCGACTCAAGCCTTTTGTAAATAAATCAGCCCACTGATTTCCTATATTAACATGTGTAGTGTCTAGCTCTCCATTCAGCACCTTCTCCCTCACAAAGTGACAATCAACCTCAATGTGCTCGGTTCTTTTATG